GAAGGGCGTGGTTCTGCATTTATTTCAAACCCGTTCCATGCAACCTTTAAAACTGCAACCAGTTTCGAGCTTTGGGTCTTATTAACTAAATGTGCTACATTTCAACGAGCTAGGCACTCACTTCCCTACGAATCACTTTCGTCCATTGCTTGTGGAATTGCTACAGGTTGGCATTATGTCAACAGGCAAATTTTCCCGCTCTTCAAATCACATGTGTTATCTTTTAATGTATGTGACCATTCTGCTGTCACAATGAGATGTCTTGTGAATTTTACGTGGTGCCTCCTATGTGCTCTACTCTGGCTACGGTGACTGCTGGCGTGAGGAATTCAGATGGGTGGATCTGTGTAGCCAATCAAGAAGCTAGTCATATGGCACCCACTCGCACCTCTTATCTGCCTTTAAGTTGCTCCAATCAAATCGGGTGTGACGAAGGCGCCCTCAAAAACAGTGTGCAGCAATTGTGTTGTGCGAAGGCATTTTATCACCACAAGCCTCTAAGTCAAATTTTTATCTTCATCTCTTTGATAACGGCGCTTAGTCTTGTGCTCTATGCTCCGCCAATCACATAAGGGGTGGTGGCAAGTAGTCGAAGGGGATGACGAGCAATGCAGCACACACAGAGAAACTACTTCATCACCTATTGTTAAGGCTGTAGTAAAATGGCGACCCTCATCTCCTAAACAATGACTACATCCCAATAGGTGCATCTTTCAAATGCAACGGGTCCCGTCCTCCACTTCGCTTTTCAATTAATAATTACAAATATGATTATGTAGGTGAATGTTAGGTCTGTGTCTGTGTGCGAGTATTTCTTTACTTGCTCTGCAACGGCTAGAAAACAAAGTGTAGTGGAAGACGTAAAAGAGGGTGGAGGAAAAATGTCAACAATGGTAGCATGGTAGTAGAAAGTAAGGTGTAGCTATTCCTAGCACAGTTGAAATGGAAGGTGTGCACGTGACACGAGAATCCCATGCTCTGCTACGGCATTTTATTGTGACAAGACCATGTTGGAGAAGTGTCTTCACCAGGACGCATCGCACGGGAAGGAAGCGAGGTGAAACTGCCATGAGGGTGCATCAATCGCGGAGAGGTGGTACGCTGATCGGTGTCTATTTGGCACGGCGTTGCAAACCCGCTGGCACACACGAGGCAGGCGTGAATGCCTTCAAGATGTACGGAAGTGCATGGTATGCACCTCCACGCTTGACAGCACGGTATAGATGTGGCAATTACTACATTTGCGAAAGAGGGTCACCATCTGGGAGAAAGTTACTTGACGTGACTGTCACAGCATGTGCCCTTGCAAAAGGTGATGTTCCTGCCGTTTCAATTTGTAAAATACTATCATCAATTTGAGGCACAACATATTCTGTGTAATGTGGATGAAAGAGGCATAGCAACATGAAGTGGGGCGGGTGACCGATGACGGTAGAAAGAGCATCCTATTCAGAAACACCACGTTTCACCTCATACCTTTCCCAATGAGCACTACACCAACCCAGAGCGACATTGCAGGTCTCTACCTCAGCAAATGCATTCCTACCACTCTACACTTTTCTACTCGACACACCGAAGCTGGCAATTTGACTTTTGAAGAAGTGTTGCAAACAATACCAAATGCAATTAGTGGTTGAAGTACCGACTCATTTCAATTGTATTCCATGCAGACGCTTCCTAAAGCGATATTTCTCGACTGTGGCTAGAAACACCATCCTTTGTACCTTCTACGAATGGAATCACTACCCTGAGAGAAGATACACCTGGAACCTCAAAGAGTAACGCAACTGTGTAGCATGGCCAGGATTCCTAC